GTGAAGGGTAACAAGAAGGCTTTCTATGGGTATGTAAGTAACAAGAAGAAGGTCAAGGAAGTGTAGGCCCTTACTGAATGGGGGAGGCAACCTAGTGACAGATGTAGAAAAAGCTGAAGTACTCAATGCTTTTTTTTTTTTGTTGGTCCCCTTGGTCTTCACAGACTGCTGCACTGGGCAGCATAGTATGGGGAGGAGGTGAGTAGCCCTCAGTGGTGAAATAATAAGTTAAAGAGAATTTAGAAAAGCTGGATGTGGGGCTGGATACAATGCATCCATGGGTGCTGAGGGAATTGGCTGGTGTGATTGCAGAGCCACTGGCCATTATCTTGGGAAAATTTGTGGTGGGTGGGGGAGGTCCTGGATGATTGGAAAAAGTCAAATTTAGTGCCCTTCTTTAAAAAAGGGAAGAAGGAGATTGCGGGGAACTATAGATTGGTCAGCCTCACCTCTGTCGCCAGAAAAATCATGGCGCAGGTCCTCAAGGAATCCATTTTGAAGCATTTGGAGAGGAAGGTGATCAGGAAGAGTCAACATGGATTCACCAAGGGCAAGTTATGCCTGGCCAACCTGATTGCCCTCTATGATGAGATAACTGGCTCTGTGGATATGGGGCAAGCAGTGGGTGTGATATACCTTGACTTTAGCAAAGCTTTTGGTATGGTCTTCCACAGTATTCTTCCCAGCAAGTTATAGTCCATTCATCCAGTCCATATTTTAAGGTGGATAGAAAGCTGGCTAGATTGGGCTCAATGGGTTGTGATCAACAGCTCAATGTCTAGTTGGGCATTCTGCTTGATACCAGCTTCCCAGGGGTAGGTCCTGGGGCTGATTTTGTTCAACATCTTTATTGATGATCTGGATGATGGGATGAATTGCACCCTCAGCAAGTTTGCAGATGACACTGAGCTGGGGGGAGAGAGGATCCAGAGTGATCAGACAAATTGGAGGATTGGGCTAAAAGAAATCTGAAGTTCAACAAGGACAAGTCCAGAGTCCTGCACTCAGAACAGAAGAATCCCATGCACTGCTATAGGCTGGGGACCAACTGGCTAAGCAGCAGTTCTGCAGAAAAGGACCTGGGGATTACAGTGGATGGGAAGCTGAATGAGTCAGCACTGTGCCCTTGTTGCCAAGAAGGCCTACAGCATATTGGGCTGCATTAGTAGGAGCGTTGCCAGCACATCTAGGGAAGTGATTATTCCCCTCTATTTGGCACTGGTGAGGCCACATCTGGAGTACTGTGCCCAGTTTTGGGTCCCCCACTACAGAAAGGATATGGACAAAGTGGAGAGAGCCCAGCAGAGGGCAACAGAAATTATTAGGGGGCTGGGGCACATGACTTATGAGGAGAGGCTGAGGGATCTGGGCTTATTTGGTCTGCAGAAGAGAAGAATGAGGGGGGATTTGATAGCAGCCTTCAACTGCCTGAAGGGGGGTTCCAGAGAGGATGCAGCTAGGCTGTTCTCCGTGGTGACAGATGACAGAACAAGGAGCAATGGTCTCAAGTTGCAGTGGGGGAGGTCAAGATTGGATATTAGGAAAAACTATTTCACTAGGAGGGTGGTGAAGCACTGGAATGGGTTACCTAGGGAGGTGGTGGAATCTCCATCCTTAGAGATTTTTAAGGTCAGGCTTGACAAAGCCCTGGCTGGGATGATTTAGTTGGGGTTGGCCCTGCTTTGAGCAGGGGGGTGGACTAGATGACCTCCTGAGGTCTTTTCCAACCCGAATCTTCTATGATTCTAAGTCAGGACACCTTTTACGCCAGTCACTTAACAAATGTATAGTACACAATGGAATTTACGATCTGGAAGAGTTACATCAAGAAAGGATTTACCAAAAAAAACCTCAGTCTAATTTATAAATATTTTATGTGCAATATTTAATAAATTGCACTTGTAAATGAATTAATTAATAAAACATTAATTAGTTAATAAAAACAGCCAATTAAAATAGTGTGTTTGAGAGCTGTATAAAGGAACAATGTTCAGAAGTTAGTTTTACTTAGTTGGAATATTTTTACCTGTGTAAATATCAACCTTAAGAAAAGAGGATTAGGGTGTGTGAAAGCTAACAAAGAATCCTTTGTCATAGTGCTTGTACCTTAAGCATCTAGACCAAAGTTGCCTCTCTGACAGGAAAGAGCTCAAGGGGTTTTGGAGCATGAAGAAGAAAACTGAGAGGATCCCTTCACTGAGCTTTGTTTAAATGGAGGGAAAGGTTGGGTTTTTCCTCCCTGCAGAACAGCCAGTAGTTATTCACCAGAATTAACTTTTAGGAGGAATTCCTAAAGGGTGGGTGGGACTGGAGGACAAATCACATGGCTAAAGCTAAAGATATATCTGAGGGTATGTCCTCACTACCCACTGGATTGGCGGGCAGCGATCGATCCAGTGGGGATCGATTTATCCCGTCTAGTCTAGATGTGATAAATTAACCCCCGAGCGCTCTCCCATCAACTCCTGTACTCCAGGGCTGTGAGAGGCGCAGGCAGAGTCGACGGGGGAGTGGCAGCAGTAGACTCACTGCGGTGAAGACACCACAGTAAGTCAATCTAAGTACGTCAATAATGTAGCTGAAGTTGCATAACTTAGATCGATTTCTTTCTTCCCCCCTCCCCCCCCCTGCCCAATATAGACCAGGGCTGAGTGTTTGGTTGGATCAGAACCAGCATGCTTAGCACCAGGCAGGATCAAGCCCTTAATAACACAGAAACTTTTCTTCTCCCTTTGAACAGTTTGCTCGTTCATACATAATGTGTGTTTAAAGGAGTTTTCAGCAGCCAAAGCAAAGTAGAAGTTCAAAAAGAAAAGGAGTACTTGTGGCACCTTAGAGACTAACCAATTTATTTGAGCATGAGCTTTCGTGAGCTACAGCTCACTTCATCAGATGTTTACCGTGGAAACTGCAGCAGACTTTATATACACACAGAGAATATGAAACAATACCTCCTCCCACCCCACTGTCCTGCTGGTAATAGCTTATCTAAAGTGATCAACAGGTGGGCCATTTCAACACTCTCACAAGTCTTGGGAGACAGGCCAGTCCTTGCCTACAGACAGCCCCGCAACCTGAAGCAAATACTCACCAACAACCACATACCACACAACAGAACCACTAACCCAGGAACTTATCCTTGCAACAAAGCCCGTTGCCAATTGTGCCCACATATCTATTCAGGGGACACCATCACAGGGCCTAATAACATCAGCCACACTATCAGAGGCTCGTTCACCTGTACATCCACCAATGTGATATATGCCATCATGTGCCAGCAATGCCCCTCTGCCATGTACATTGGTCAAACTGGACAGTCTCTACGTAAAAGAATAAATGGACACAAATCAGATGTCAAGAATTATAACATTCATAAACCAGTCGGAGAACACTTCAATCTCTCTGGTCACGCAATCACAGACATGAAGGTCGCTATCTTAAAACAAAAAAACTTCAAATCCAGACTCCAGCGAGAAACTGCTGAATTGGAATTCATTTGCAAATTGGATACTATTAATTTAGGCTTAAATAGAGACTGGGAGTGGCTAAGTCATTATGCAAGGTAGCCTGTTTCCTCTTGTTTTTTCCTACCCCCCCCCCAGATGTTCTGGTCTAACTTGGATTTAAACCTGAAGAGTGGTCAGTTTAGATGAGCTATTACCAGCAGGAGAGTGAGTTTGTGTGTGTGTATGGGGGTGGGGGGGATGTGAGAAAACCTTGATCTATGCAGGAAATAGCCCGACTTGATTATGTAAAGAGTTGTCACTTTGGATGGGCTAGCACCAGCAGGAGAGTGAATTTGTGTGGGGGGGTGGAGGGTGAGAAAACCTGGATTTGTGCTGGAAATGGCCCAACCTGATGATCACTTTAGATAAGCTATTACCAGCAGGACAGTGGGGTGGGAGGAGGTATTGTTTCATATTCTCTGTGTGTATATAAAGTCTGCTGCAGTTTCCACGGTAAACATCTGATGAAGTGAGCTGTAGCTCACGAAAGCTCATGCTCAAATAAATTGGTTAGTCTCTAAGGTGCCACAAGTACTCCTTTTCTTTTTGCGAATACAGACTAACACGGCTGTTCCTCTGAAACCTGTCATTATAGAAGTTCAAAGTAAACTTGAAATTCAACTGGATACCTCACTTAACCCAGATCAGAGAGGAGCATTTCCTTATTCAGTATTTCTTATGAGCAGATCTCCCATTGATGATAATGGGAGATCTGTAAATAGAGGAAGAAGAGGCTATCAGATTCAAAATCCACAAAAATAATAATAATATTTAATGATCATCTTCTGAAGCATCTACTAACCACTCCCAGAGAAGGAATAACAGATTAGATGGACCATTCATCTGATGCAGAATTATGTTTCCTATAATCCCATCTGAAAGGAGATTTTTGCCCTAAAATATCAAGAACAACAATGGCTAAATGTTTCAGTAATTGTGGCATGATGATACAATAGCACACAAGGATATCACAGTCGTACTCTTTCTAGATCTAAAGGACCAAATGTGGTGAGGAATCTGGAGATTTGTCCCAGCAAGACCAAGTTCTGAAACATTTTTCCTCTAGTTAGTTCTTAATGCCTCTATCGTTACTGACTAATATCATAAAAGTGTCATTTATTTTTATTCTTATTTGTAGATGCCTCCAACGACCATGTTGTACCTTGTACCTAAGATGTGAAGAGGCTCTTCCACTTCTCTCCAAGCCCTTCTCTAACTGGAAACAATAAAATCATACTCTCAGAATGACATCAGCAGAGTGAATAGTCATTTTAAATGCTGTTCCTTTCCTAGTTAAAAGCATTTAATTTAAAGTAATTTGGAACCAAATATACATTAATTTATAAGTATGAATAGCACAGCAATATAGAAAATAAAATACAATGCATATATATATCACATGTAAAAACCCAGAAACATAAAACAAGGTATTGCAAGAGAAAGTCAGAGCAGTCCAAAAAATTATACAGCCTCTTAGTACAGGTGTATACTCACAATTGACTCAATGAATCCTGATATGACCTAACCTTTTCCATCAGGTTCAGTTCCCAGCTTTTTAAAAGACCATATATTGTTTCACTGATGTTTACAGGAGTTGTCCTGGGCAACCAAATAGAACACAGAGATTTAAAGGGGCCACATCCGGCCTATTAGTTATATTCTCCTATATCACATGCAAAAGTCCATTTTACTGAGTGACCTATTTGTGTAGAATTGTATAAGTGATGCAGAAAAATCCTTTGTTGATTTCATGACATTATATATACATATACAAAATCTCTTGCTGTGAACTACGGAACACACTGAATGTCAAACAGTATATGAGAATTTTAAATTATTTTTCCTTGTAATTCTCAATGTTTCTTTTGCATTCAGGAAGCAATATCATCACCCTTTAGTGACAAGGTTTTGCAGATGAATGCAGGGAACTCATTCAGGACTAAGGCCCCATTATGCTGGGGGATGTACAAACACATATTAAAAGATTGTGCCTGGCCCAACAATCCTATGAATGAGTCTGCACTGAGCTCCCAAGAAGTCAATAGAGGACTGATAGCTGAGAGCGGAGACAGAATGGCCTTGAACCTCTGGCAAATTCCTGAGATCCACAGGTCCTGAGGGCCAAGCCCTGTTTGCTCTGTGGTGCCAGGCCACCTCCACAGACTAAAAATTTGCCCAAACAAATTGCCCTCCTTTTCATGGCCCAACCACTTGCTTTTCTGTGGAAGGGGCAGTCCCTCTAGATTAGAGGGATGGATTTATGACACAAAATTGAAAGGGTTTAGCTTCATTACTCAATTCAAATTTAAAGGGTTTAGCTTCATTAATCAACAACTGGTGAGGGGGGATATGATAATCCAGGCACATCCAATAGCATCTTCAGTGTGTTAGAAAAAGAGAATTAAATTTTTTTTTTCATGGTGACTTGTCTCCATTTCCATTTCTCTGTATTCTCTTCCTCCCTGATTCTGCTGGCTTCTTCTTGTCTCCTTTTTCCAGTCACTTTCTATTTTATTCAGGTTCTCATTTTATTCAGGTTCTCACCACTCTCACCATGGTGTCTTTGCATGTCCATGTGGCCAAATACTTATTGCTGCATTATTAACCATCTTTTCCTGATCATTCCCTGTTTGTCTCCTCCATTAGGGGATCCTGTTTCTGTCACCGCACTTTCCTTCTCTCTCCACCCTCCAGTTACAACTTGCAATTTGTAACTGCTATGCTCAACTGCCAAAGACCCTTCTAGAACCTGCTGCTTCCAGTAGTTTGTCTGATTTTGAGATTTATAGATGAAAAGACACTGTATGCATACTAAATATGTTTATGGATTATATTATTATTTTATTATTCACCTGCTAAAGAGTCATGACTCCAAACATTCTGTTCCCTATCTTGATACTGGACATCGGGGGAAAATATCACTCCATATGTACCCTGATTACATATAGTCCTTTCAACCTATAGATGATACTGAAACCTGGCTTCCTGCTTCAGTTCCCGGTAAATGCTACCAAATGGCAGAAGGAATGATTGAGACCAAAAGAATGGCCATATTAGGTCAGACCAATGGTCCATCTAGCCCAGTATCCTGACAGTAGCCAATGACAGGTGCTTCAGAAGGAACGAACAGAATAGGCAATCATCAAGTGATTCATTGTGTTGTCCTCTCCCGGCAATCAGAGGCTAGCAACACTCAGAGCATGGGGTTGCATCTCTGACCCTCTTGACTAATAGTCATTGATGGACCTATCCCCCAGGTACTTATCTAGTTCATTTTTGAACCTTGTTATAGTTTTTGCTTTCACAAAATCACTTGGCAATGAGTTCCATATGTTGACTGTGTATTATGTGAAGAGGTACTTCCTTTTATCTGTTTTAAACCTTCTGCCTATTAATTTCATTGTGGATCCCTGGTTCCTGTGTTATGTAAAGAAGTAAATAACACTTCCTTATTCACTTTCTCCACATCAGTCATGGTTTTATAGGCCTCTATCATATCCGCTCTTAGTCATCTCTTTTCCAAGCTGAGAAGTCCCAGTCTTTATAATATCTCTTCATACAGAACCTACCCACTTAGCATAGATGCACAGAGCAAAGATTTTAAGAGTGGCTGCTTGGGAAAAAAGAGGGGAAAGAATGCTTCTGGGAAGTCAGAGCTCTATAATGAGGGAGAAATCCTCATCCCGTTGAAATCAATGAGAGTGTAGTGTGGGACAGGATATTGAATGGAGACAAAAGAAGAGTATAGCAAAGCACTGAGCCAGGTTGATAAGTCACTCAGTCAAAAAGGCTAATAATGTTAGGAGCCATTAGGAAAGGGATCGATTATAAAACAGAAAATATTATAATGTCACTGTATAAATCTATGGTATGCCCTCACCTCAAATACTGCATGCAGTTCTGTTGACCCATCTCAAAAAAGATATATTAGAATTGGAAAGAGTACAGAGGAGCAACAAAATGATTATGGGTTATGGAACAGTTTCTATATGAGGAGAGATTAAAAAGACTGGGACCGTTCACCTTAGAAAAGAGACCCTAAGGGGGGGTGGTATGACAAAGATTTATAAAATAATGAATGACATGGAGAAAAAGTATTGTTTACGCCTTCATACAACACAAGAACCAAGGGTCATACAATGATATTAATAGGCTGCAAGTTTAAAACAAACCAAAGGAAGTACTTCATACAACACACAGTCAACCTATAGAACTTGTTGCCATGTGATGTTATGAAGGCCAAAAATATATCTGAGTTCAAAAAAGAATAGATAAATTCATGGAGGAAAGGTCCACAATGCCTATTAGCCAAAATGGTCAGGGATGTCACCCATGCTCTGGGTGTCCCTAAATCTCTGACTGCAAGAAGCTGGGACCAGACAGCAGGGGATGGATCACTTCATAAAATTGCCCTGGTCTGTTCATTCCCTCTGAAGCATCTGGCACTGACCACTTTCAGAAGACAGGATACTGGGCTAGATGGACCATTGGTCTCACCTACTATGGCCATTTTTATGTTCTTAAATAAAAGTGAAATGACAAAAAGTAAACTTAGTAAGTTTTCCATTTTTGTTTTTCCAAGCAGGATATATTTAATGTTTCTTTCCTACCTACAAATTGGCTCTTACTGCTTGCTTCTTCCCAGGAATAACATCCAGACTCCAGGATGCCCATATATCAGTAAGAGAAAGTTAGTTTCCTTGCCTATAATTTTTATTTCTCATAATGGAGGACATTCACTAGTCTGGACTTCACTATATAACCAAACATTCCTGATAAAATTATAATGTTATGACTTTCGTTCTATTAATCCTACAGTCTATAATTATTTTATTCATATTTTCTACTTGGCTATGCAATTTAAGATATGGAAGTAATCTCCTGAGTCAAAAGCTGGGCTGCACCATTCCAGAAGAGGGAGTCTGAATTTAAAAGAGGAAGGAAAGAAGGACAAAGTCAAGCTGTCTCCTGTGTGTGGGGAAACAGAAGTAATGTCCCGACTACTGGATGAGTCTACTGATGATGACTACTATGAAGAGGAAGTTTTCCTTCCCCATAATTCTATCTTCTCTTTTCCATTCACAGCTTACTCCATTTGGTTTCTCCCTGGTGAACTGCGTACTGTATCTCATCCCATTGCATGCTGACTCCTGCCTCTTCATATATTCTAGTAAGACAGGTAAAGTGACAGGCTGTGGGACTTGTGAACCTGTTGCTGCAAGAAGATTTGAGATGAAAGATTAAGTGAAGTCTGAAAGCATATGGTGACAGGTGAAAAACCTTCCATGATGACCAGCTGACAGTTCTTTTGAGCTAAATTTTGCAACCTTTATTTTGGGTGAGCACTTACCCAGATGGATAGTGACTTCAGTGAGGCTACTTGTGAGGGTAAGTGTTCACTACATGAATAATGGTTGCACAATCTAGCCCTCTGTGAGTACAGGAGATATAACACTCCATAAACTGAGAACTAAAAACTGTGAGAAAAAATGTTAGCCAGTGATGGTTAGAAGGATAAAATCACAAAAAAACCTTTTGTTTCTTAAGAAAGTCAGAGCTCTTGGACTCTGATTCAGCAAGAAAGGTATTCCATGTAGAGCACACAACATTAAATCTTGTTTAGAGATTATAAAAGAATGAATTGCTGCGGTGAGGACTGTATTTGAATGAAAAGATTGCAACCTTCTACCCAGGCATAAATGATTAAAAAATTCTTAGCTAATGCTGCTGCTTGACCATTTAGTAGTAACTGGGGATTTGAAAGAATCCAGATTGAAGAGGTTTTCACAAAAAGTGTGCAAACTTAATTGAATAAGTGATCACGCTATTAAAGTTTTCTTAGGCTTAGTCTGTTTGCAATAGAAACTATTGCATAAAAACTCAGAAAGTAAGGAATGGATGTAATCTTCAAATTTGCATGTCCGTGGTTAGTGGCTACATATTGGGTAGTACTATGAGGTCTGACTTTTTAATAAAATACTTGTTCATTTTCAGATTCCGTATAATACAGAATGTACAAACCACAATTCATATATGATTTTATTGTAATTACACTAATATTTGAGAACTAATGAACTGAGATTCATTCTCTAAAAAGCCACTTGGGATTCATTCTTATGGAGTAGTTTTACAAAACTAAAACCAAAGTTAAGACTTCCAACACATATTGAACACATCTCCAGCTTGAAGGTCTGCAAAGTGGGTCCTAATGTAAAAAATAAACCTTAAAGATTAAGTCAGTGCTTCTCAACAATAGGAGAAGTTCCCATGTCAAGTGTTTTATTACAAGTCAGGTTTTTCACTATCCTTCAATGTAGAATTCAGCAGATTTCGTATCAGCCTTAGTCCTATATCATGCTGGATGCCCAACCTGTAAAGAAGTAAGAAGAGTACATAGACAGAAATATAAAGTGGGTCAGTGGAATGATTTATGGGGTAAGGTACTACTCAGTGTGAGTAAAGGTGGCAGAATTGGGCCCAAAATGATCCATTACAGGACTAGGGTTATTTTTTAAGCTGTCCAGCAGTTTATTTCTACTCAATTTATTCAAGTGAGTTTAATGGGGACACATCAATTT